TATTCCGACTACAAAAGCATCACTCCAGTCAATGATATTGCAATGGGTTCAGGCTTTTTGTCTCCGCAGCAGTTTTCTGATCTAATCGAACTGGGCCATCAGCCTGCTCTGTTTTTGAGTTCACCTGTACTGAAAAAGATCGAATCATCTAAACTGCCCCATGCAGAAAAACTCACAGCTGTAATAAATCTTTGGGACCCAAATCTCAAAGTTTCTTACTTTATGCTCGGCGGCGGATGGCCGGGTGAACTGGTGGGTCCGGTGGGTTTGAAAAGAAATTATTGGTGGGATGAAAATGATCTGGGCTACACAAACCTATTGCCCAATCAATCCATCTTAAGCAGCTCGGATGAAAACAACCTCAATGTCGGTGATTTTGCTTTTTACCATTCATGGGAAGGTGACGGGATGCTCTGCTTCAAAAAACTTGTTCTTTACAGGCAAAATGGTATAGTCGGAGAATGGGATACTTATAAAGGAGGCAATTGACTACAATATTTCGTCCTTAGTAGCCTGAACGGTCACCCTGTGAATGTGGATGTGGGTGTGTGGATGTGGTTGTGTGAATGTGGGTATGTGAATGTGGGTGTGGCTGTGGATATGGGTGTGAATAGAAGAAGCAGAACACTCTCATTCACAGCTTACACCAACATTCTTCTAAAGGTACCGAATGACAACTAATTAAGCACTTGTCGAAACATATTGTATTACAATTTGAATCAGTCTCTTTAAGTATAACACGCTGGAAATACTCGAAGAGAAACGCTGATATGAAGTTGTACAAAAAGCGTTTCAGAGAGTCTACCTAGGAAAAATGAACAAGCGCAATATCGGCATTCTTGAAAAGCAAACTAGGGTTAGCCAAAAAACAGACAAGGCTTGATTAAAAGAGAATCCACAAAATACCTCCGATAAACTGAATCTTTGGTGAAAACTATACCTGACGGAGATCGATGCTGGAAAATCTGAGATAGAGACGGCACCATTCATTTATAGGAAGACAAAAAAAGTTCACTACCGAAAATATTCAGAAATAGCTATCAAAACTTATAAATAACAGAACACCAATACTATGTCTAACTCTTCGTCACAAGATTTTTAGAAATCAGATCGCAGTTACCTGTTTCAAAAAATCGGATGACCTACAGGATCGTAGTGAATAGTAACGAGAAAGGAATCATCTCAATGCAGCGTAATGTAAATAAATGAAAAACAAACATACAAAAGTAATTGTCTACTCAAAGCACACTCATGAAATAACACAATCAGAATATGATAACGAAACAAAAACAACTTTCCAAAGCAGAACAAATCTTGATTTCTCACTATAGACACATGATGAGAAAAGAAATTTTTTTTTTTTGATTTTATTGAATTCGATCTTGAAAAATGTGTTCTGTTTCTTTTGAAATCTCTAGTCATAAGGGTTATATAGAGTTAACTGATGAGCTCCTTGAGAAAAGTGGAAAGTAATCATAGTTTCCTTTATCAAGACATATGTGCGCAAACACTCATATCCACACTCACACGTATACATACATAAGTTCCCAATTTTTGGTGATAGACACCAATCGAGAATCTGTGTATGGTAAGATGTGAATCAGTTCACCTACCGATGAAGTGATGGTGTGGATGTGGGTGTGGGTAAGTGTGCGGGTGTGAGAGTTGATCTCCATTACACCCATATCCGCTCACAGAAAATGCTCACCTGACCAAAAAATGAAAAAAGGAGAGAATTGAAACTGTATTTATCTCAATATTCTTTCTCATTTACGTTCAAATATTTTAAGGGTAAAGTGCTATTTATTCTGCATGTGTTGAATTTTAATTTAAAAAGCAGATCTCTAAATGTTCAGAAACGAAGTTATTCGTAATATTGATAAAATAGGTTTTTCTGTAACATTTTTCTTTTTTGACATGAAAAGCAGTATTTCATAACTATTTTTAAAATATATCGATTATACTAGATATAGTTCATCAATAAACTATCTAGGCACATATTAACATGGTTAGGCTTCTGAATATCGTACATCGCTTCATATAGTAATTTCGATTTATTTATTTCTGTATTGTACAATAAAAGTTTCAAGATAGAATTTTTTTGTACGACAAAAGATGTTCAATTCCAAGATGTGAGATATGAATCGAAACTTGGTAAGAACTTATTCATAAGTTGACGAAAAATCTTTTCATTCATGGTTTACGTAGTAACTGACTTTTGTGAAATTTTTTATTTAAAGTTTTAAGATGTTCACTTACTTGCTCATAAAATTGTATTCAAGATTCAACTTCTGATGTTGAAAAAGAAGTCATTAGTGTACTTATAATGTAATTACATATGTAAAAATGAGTGCCCTGCTTTTTTTAAAGTTTATTTAAACAACTAGTTAAATTCTTTTTTTTCACTATTCGCATTGAGGAAAAAGAATTAATTAATAAATTCGCCTTTTCGCGTCTATTTATAACGAAATTTGCCTGTGACAGTAGGAATGAGCGGAATTGCAAGCTTCATTATACATCGTCTTTCTCTTCTCACGTTGTCAAATTAGTTGGTGACGACAAGAATATGATATATCACAAAGGTGTGAGTGTGTGGAGTGATTTTGGATGTGGGTATGATACCCTGTTCACTTACACTCACACCCACAGCATAGAATCATAATTTGCACGATAGGAGCATTCTCCCAGAACCAGTTGAACAACAAAATTTGAAGAGATGTGCATCTGAGATTCTCCTTTCTCCTAGCCTCCTCCGGATGATCCATCTTTTCACTATATCTCTGTTCATAGTTCTGTTATATCCTTGATTTATCATTTTGTTCCTTGTAAGTACTTGCGAGTGTTACAATAAAAAGAGCGTCAGCCAAAAGAAAACTGCTCTTCATTGTCAACGATGAACACATAATATAGATAAAATTAACGCACGTAGCCTGTTCCATTCTGACAAATTATAACAAATTGCAACAAGTACGAGATTATTTATCGACAAGGAAAACTTCGTGGGTCTACTAGAAATGCACATAATAGTAGTGTTTATCATCAATTATAAAAGCTTTTACGTTGTAATCTATTAATGAAAAGAAGACCGTGCATATGATTTTCAACAAAAAACATAAAATTAGGAGTTCATTTACTTTTTTAACTATAAATTAGTAGCATTCAATAGTGTAGATCACATGTTTTAACATAGAAAAACAATTGAATGCATGGTGATGTGTGTTCAGATACAGATATTTATATTTATATATAAGAGAACTAATGATTTGATAAACAAAAATTTGTATTCATTGAATTATTTTTCCTCGTAGATTTTATCATTACTCTTTTAAAGTCAGAACTAACAAATAAAGAAACCGAATATGTTCTGCAATGATTATTTTTCTACACTACTCAGTCTTGAAAACAATACATTTATTCGAACGAGAATTGATTGATTTTATGATTAAAAAAAATGTGGATCATATTTCTCATTTTTTTTCTTTCTTACTACTTCGATTTATTTTTAATAAAGAAGACATCACTTAGGTATTACATTTCTTCTTTTCTCTTCCTGTTTGTTCACGTACAGTAGAGTGCAAAAGAATTGCCCTTTGATATAGAAACTTTCTTGGGATCTGTCTCTTAAGTTTATGGAGTGATCACCTTAAGACAGTTTTTGAAGAATAGTCAATAGTTCTGTGTACTTATCCCGACTGACATATGTGTACAGGTGCTGTTGAGTTTTATAAAAATGGCGCATTATTCAAATACAAATCATCTGTTAATAGAACGATCAGTCATTTTATACTACTGTAGAAGTGATTCTCGTAATGTTAGGCGCAACTGTTCGTATGAAGAAGACATCTGCATGTATCATCTAATATAAAATTTCCGAGATCTAACAACGAATCATTGTGGATCATCAAGACTAGCAAGGCAATTTTTGAGCCGCTTTTGCACTGAACTAATAGACTTTCGAATCTAGACATATTGAATAGGTTTCTGAACAAAAAATGGAATAAAATTGGCGTCTAAACTGTAAGCTTTTTGAGTATTTGTGAGAAAATCAGTTCTTCTGCTATTATTGAGTCCTTAATCATCATTGGTTTCAATAGAAGATATTTTAAATAACCTAACAAGTAATTTTTTGCACTCTACTGTATATTTAAATCGTAACATATCTTAAAACTATAAAGACAATGACTCATATCATTAACATTATTTTACCATCTATGTTTTACTGTTTATAGTAAAGCCATGAACTCTCGTTTTTATTTCTTTATTCTTATCGGCAGTGTATGTCAGCGCTTTTATCAATGAGAAAAAATTCCAGTAAATACGGGAACAACGTTCATACATATGATATGATTATGAAAGAGAAACACATAAATGATAAGAGACGAACATATTTTCATAGTTTCTTAATACGTGCTAAATAATAATAAAATTCGTGTATTTGTCGACTAAATTTCAGAAACATAATACAATGAATTATTTTTATAGATGTCTAAAAAATGTTAAAAGACAATACGCATTTTCGAGTTAATGTTATAGCATTAATTATGATATTCACTATCAGAAAAATTCCTCTAATGAATGGATTAACAACAGGTAATCTTCTTCGTAACGGAAATTTTAGTCAAATAGAATCTGATGGACAACCAAGCGTTTGGAACGTTACTGTTGGGCAGGGTAATATTACAGTTAAGATCCTACCTGGAAAATACCTGTCTCTCAATGCAGTCGAAATTTCAGTATATACTAATCGAACTTTAGTTACACTCACTCAAATGATTCAGTTAGAACAGGGCACAAATAAAAGTCTTCTTGTGATGACATTCTGGCACAGTACGTGGATAATCTATGGCTCTGGAAGTGTTCGATTAGAATTCTATGATAGTTTAAACTCTAGAATTGGAAACGAATATTTGAAATCTCTTTCATCCAATTTAACATGGACTTATACTCATATCAAAAGACCTGTCCATAGCTATGCAATATATGCTAAAATTATAATCAGAATGTATAATTTTATGGGAAAAGTTTTAATGGCTAATATTTCCCTTGAACAAGTCGATGTTTGGAAGAATGCGACATTCTTTGTGTCGCCAAGACCAGACGGAACAATTTTTATTCAATGGAACTTTGAACATAATGGAATTGATGTTGCTAATTATGATATTTACAGAGGCAAAGGAATATTGTCTGTCCTTAATTATACTCATCTCTTGGTAACTATTCCGACAATGTCTTCATATGGAAAGAATATCTACGAGTCGATGTATACAGATCACTCCGTTCACTTGGACACTATATATACCTATCAAGTAGTTGCGCGACACTCGAATAGTACAATTATTGACCAAACGACATTTATACTTGGTCAAGCAGACGTAGGACAAGAGTATCATGATATTACGACACTTATTGCTTTTCCAAGAACAAATGGTATTCATCTTAGTTGGAAACTTAAAGCAAGAAGTGCATCTAAACATGTCACTCTTTACAATGGTATCAATAGTATAACTAAAATTAGCAATAATGAAGCTCAACTTTTAGGAAGATATCCAGTACAAGATATGAAAGCAATCGTCTCATTATCCAATGCTGGCCCTTTTCTTCTAGTATCTGATGATGAAAATGATGTGGCCACTGCTAAACTTGCTAATCTTACTCGTCCACGGATAGTCCTTACACCAACACATCTAGATTTCATTCGAGAGAAAATTAATCAGCCAGGACATGCACAAGAGGTTTTTAAAGAACTCATAAAAAGTATTTATACCTATCAACCAGATAATTCTTTCAATTATTGCTGGCCTGCACGAGATGCAGCTCTGCTATACGCTATCACAAAAGATATTCCTTACGCTCATATTGCATATCTAGCATTAAATGCCAATAGAATAAATTATACAATATACGACAACTCTGCTATCAAACTTCGATTCAGTCTTAGTACGATGGCTCGAGCACAAGCTTTTGATTGGGCTTACGAGACTTTTACCGTAGAACAACGACGAGATTTGATCAACGACTTTCAATATGCTGCATCTATATTTACATCTTATTCAGGTATAGTCGAAAGGATGATTAAATTAATTGTTCGAGAATTAGCAAAGAGTTTTGATTTCGACAGATTTGAACATCGTTTATGTGTTAAGATTTTTGTATTTCGCATAATGTATGCCAATTTCTTGACAATATTAGTATTAGTATTTTGTCATAGAGGCTATTATATAGCTTCAGTAAATGCACTTGATACTTTGATATTCCATGTAGATATTTGCAGATAAAGAATATCTTCAAAAATAAATCAGAAGGAGAGAACGTCTTTATTCATTCTACAGAGTTAGTTTGAAATCTATTCAAAATACAATAAATCATATTCTTATTCGAAACAATAGATAATTAGCTACTTCTTGATTTAATTGCATCTACATTCGGTAATTTTGTCGTAGATGATCATTCACGCAATCCAAATGATAAAGCAAGTAATTGGATTGGAATTGTAAAATCAGGTGAATTGATTCAACATCTTAGTCTTTATGGTGAAGAAGGATATCCAGATGATCAAGCCGAACGACGAATATTATTTCTTTTGAACGAATTGAAACTACATCTCGATCAATCTTATGGTTCTTCTGGCTATATGCAAGAAGGATTGAACTATCTTGCATACGTGTTACCTATTCTTGGTCCAGCTGTTTATCTAGCAAAGCATATGGGAATTTCCACTTTTGACGAAGCTTGGTCTCGTCCAGACTGGCCCAATTTAGCTTTACACATAATTTCATTGAGAAAACAGAGAAATTCTCTACAATTTGGTGTATCAGATTCAACTTATTCGTACAATGGATTTCTGCCATTCATCTTCAACTCTACCAATGATACAAACATAAAGGCTGCTCTAAAATGGTTGTATGATCGCACTATGGGAATCAATTCGTCTTCACCAGCATACGACGGTAAAGATAGAAGTGCTGCACTGTTATATTATCCATATGAAATAGCAGTTCAGCATCCGAGCATTGTGTTTCCAAGATCAACTTCAATGATTAGTGATAATATCGATGGATTCTATGGATTTCGAAATCGTTATCAAGATCAGAATGATGTACTAATTGCACTTATGAATAGAAATAGACGTCATGGAGGATGGAATGCGAATGAAACCTTTGCATTATCAATAATAAGCCACGACACCACTTGGGCACGAATGCCTGGAAAAGAATTTAAATATTATAATCTTACGAGAAAATTCAGTACGCCACTCATTGATGGATGGCCAAGAGAACCACCAAAAAGAAAGAAACTTGGTTACATCAAAGCAATAAAATCGTTCCGTGATCAAGGTGGTGGATATGTCTCCATTGATTCTAGTGTAAATTTAAATATCACTCTTGCACAACGGGATATACTAGTTGACATGATAAAGCGAGGTAGTATCGACACAATAATAGCTATACAGGATCAATTTATTAACAGTTTATCACATTTTTGGCATTGGCAACTTAGTCCCGAACCTACTGAGACTAGTATCACATTAGGAAACGAAAATAATCTCTCAACATTTATTATAAGAGGACGAAATGAAAGTTGGCTCAAAGGTTGGCTCTACAATTATCAAAATACTACTTACAACAATACTGAAGACGTACTACGAATTATAAAATATGGTTTCAGTGCAAATTTCAAGATCGCTATGGCACTTGGAATGGGCACTGAACCAATTGCTAATAGAACAGCAACCGGTATCAATATTGATGATGCTTGTATCGATTTCAATGCCTTATTTCTAGGTTTACAGGTAATTATTAATATTCACTTACTTCTCTCTCTTTTTTTCTCACCTATTTAGTCTCTTGAAACGATCGGTCCTGTCCGGTAGACATAAATTTTTCTTTACTGACTGGCCTAGAGATTTTTGCATATTAAATCGATTTTCCTGATATTGATGACTATTACTATGGAGAAAAATGAATTAGAGTATTTCTATCAAGTGAATTTTCCTCAAAATACGTTTAATTTATTTTTTCAAGTCACTTCGAGATCATAATATAAAATCAAAACAAAACGGAATCACTGTTCGTCATATTAATTTTCTTTTACATGTTTGTTTTCATTTTGTATTGTCGAACTAGGGTGTGGGTTTGGATGTGGGATGTGGGATGTGAATGAGCGTAAATGTGGCTCTTCTCTTAACCGACATCCACACCGAGTCTGATTGGCTTAGTCTTTTACCGAAACCGCTAAGAAAAAAATTCTACCGAGGCAACACTACAACATTCTATATTTCCTAATCTTAGTCACATATTTTCATTCATTATCGATTGATTATTTACAAACGTATATAAAATTTAAAACTTCACAAAAAATGAATATGACTATTTGTAAAAAATGATCACAGAAAAAAGTTTTTAACAGGAAAGTTTTTCAATGAAAAATGTCTTGCGAAGTGACTGGAAAAAACGAATTGAAATAAGAACATATAGCTAATCTTCTATCAATTATGATGACCTATTTGATAATGTTTATTTTTAATCGTATGTATTTTTTAGTGCCTAACGACAACAGTGATAATGCCAACGACTGCTCCTGACATTAAGGTGATCATTGAAATAAGTTCTTTCTTATTCTTCAGTCAGTTGATGAAGAAATTATTTTGTTTAGAAACCATCAATTATAATAATTTCTATTGCCAGTGTACTTTTTGGTTTAGCTGTTCTTATTATAATTGGTATCTTGATAAGAAAAAGAATAAACAGGTAAATCTAAGACAATCTTAAATAATTCTATAAAACAAATTTCTATATAGAAATAATCGTGTTAGTTCAGCATCAAAATGAAAACAATTGTAAGTTGAATTTATTTTTTCATATAACACTTGGATACAATGAATGTTCATTCCAGAATGTTGATAAATTATCGCAACTATCCATAGAAACATTATCCAAAAATTACACTGTGAATCAATTAAATCGTAACATAAAGTGATCATTTAAAAATAGACCTGCAGACCTTTGTGATAATTATTATCAAAGACTTACTTATTTCAGTAATGTTTTTGTCAGTTAAATAAAACGTGAAATTAAAGATTAAAGTCTTTTTTGTAATAAATCATTGGAAAAACTTGAAAACTACAAATTATATATTCAAAAAAGCTTCATAAAAAGTTTTCTTGTATATTGTAATATTCATCATAAAAATGAGCAATCAATAAAAGAAATGAAATCTAAACTCATCTTTAGTTTCAAATATTTATCTGTTTTATGAATACGTGTTGAAATGAAATAATTTAAAGAATACGTTATATTCATGAATGTCATAGAAAATTTCAATCGATTAGTTTTCTCAAATTCAAGTTTAACAAGCACGAAAAAGAATGAAATTTCCTATTCAATTGTTTTATTTAACTCGCGTTCAATTGAAGTAATACGAACGATGTGGGACAATAAAGGTAAAAGGATCAATGCCACTGTACTAAAGCATGTTCAAAGCGTTCTTGTCCTTTCTTTAAATATAGTATTGGGTGTAATTTTTTCTGTGAATGTGTCTCATCTGGTCAAAGTGTGTTCAATCATCTTGAATATTTCTTTGGCGAAAATCAAACATGTGCCACCCATCCTTATTTTTCAAAATGGCTCGTTTAAAATGCTAAAAATCCAGTTGAGCTTCAAATAATCGATCGTAATGAGTTATGTCGACGTATCATGCAATGTGACAGGTAAATAATTCTTTTATTTAACTGCTTTTTCTCTCTATTTTCTACATTAATATTCACATCTATTCAAACGTATTTTATGATGAAATATTCAAAGAATGGACGAAAAAATGAAATTAAATCGAAATGAAGAATTATCTGATATTCAAACACTATTCCGAATGCTTCTGTCAGTTGATGAAACAATCGATTATTATTATTCATTTTGTGAAGATGATGTATTAGAAGATAACTGTCAATGTCATTGTGGACCATGTAATAAATGTACGTATTTCATACAAAAAGAGGCCAGTGATTCTTGATCAAAATTTACTAACAATATGAGTTTTTTCAGCTAGTTTCCGTTAAAACAGTATAGCAGAAGTATTAATTGTTTACGTTGGATATTTTTTGTCTAACAGCATTTTCTTACTTTTATTAAATGGGAAATTCAACGAAAAAATTGTAAATCATTAATTATAAATAAATAATATTTTCTTATTCTAGAGAATGAAATTCACTATAATGTAATGAAGATAGTGCAATACATGTGCAACATATTAAATTAAGTTTTTTGAAAATTCTGTATTCAAGTTCGAAACCAATTTCTTGACATTGTTTATCAATGCCTATATTCTTATTACTATTTGAAATGATAAATTATTTTATTGATTTATTAATTGTATCGCTTTGTTTCATCAATGTCTTTATCGAAATGAGAATTATTTCAACTAATCCACAAATGGAAATGAGTTTTGATAGAACTGTCAATTTAGATTCCATTCTCTTTTTTTGACAAGTATCCGTTGGAATTCTAGAGAACAGACATGATTTGAATATTTCACCAATGTTAATATCAGAAATATGTTTTTCGAACTCGTTTAGAACTTTGTATAAATATTGATTTTGTTATTTGACGGCGTTCTTTTATTAAGAATTATTATCCATAGTACAATTTATTGATAAGAATCGTTTTTGTTTTCTAAAACTGATTCGACTTGAGAAAGTGAAATATATTTTCTCGTTTGATATTCTAAAGTCACTTTTCACCATGATATATGAAAAACAATAAAAAAAACGACATATTAAAATAACTGAACGAATCTCTATGTGATTGTTGCATGGGTGATAGATTTTAATCGAATAGGAATTAGATTGGCAATCGATTCATTTTGAGTTTTTAGAATTAACAGAAAAAGACAAACCTTGAAGAACTGTTAAATGATGTCGAAAATCTAATTGCACATTGGTCACCTAGGCTCTTTCCTCAATTGCATCCAAAGTAAATGACATCATTTGCCGATAATAGTGAGGCTTTAAAATATGAATTAGTGCAGAGATCGGAAGTCGAAATGCACTCTATTAGTTTGGCAAATATGATGAAATTAAAAATCGTCTGTTATATTGATAAAAAGCAACCATTATAAAATACTATTTATCACCTCCCAATCCTATGTTGAACGACAATGTTCATAATTCTCTTTGAACAGTTTTTGAGCAGCAGTTCAATGTGATCAACCCAACAAGACTGAAAGAAATTTTCCAACACGAAAAACAACCAAAAAATCTGGCATAAAAAATAGGATGGGAGTGAGAGTGTAGCTCTTGTACTCAGTGATATCCACACTCACTCTTGTCAACGGTTTTAATTATAGTTTTTTGATTTCATATCATATTGGCCATTCATTTTCATGACCACTAGAATTGATATGAATCAAAGATTCTACGAATTAGACATTATCACTATCACTATTACAAATATCTGTGTGAATATTGACGATCGATCCATGTCTCAATCAAGGAACAACCACTGTATATACAAGGACAATGTAATATGCAAAAAAAATCAATCTAATGAATATCTATATATTACAACTACACCGAATGATATATAATATAACTCTGTGTGTGAACCGGAGCGAAATGATTTTAATAAATGTATTTTTTGTGACACGAACATTAGATACAATCTTATTTATAAATATAGACGATTTGGCTCATTAAAATGCACGAAAAACTTGATTTCATAAATAACAAAAACTCCATATGTTGTCATGTATAAATTGTATGCACGAAACATTGTCAATAATAATTTATTATTTAACCAAAACTAACATCAAGAAGTTGCAGATCCCTAAATAAAATGTACCATGTGTTGGTTTAATAATTCATTCAAACAAATACAAATTTTTCTTTTTTTCTGAATCTTTTCATTTCAAGATGGATTGCTGTTATTACTCTATCAGTTTTCTGATATATATCTTTTGTTCATCAATAAATGTTTCAAATAACATGTCGACATTTGAAGTACGTGATATGTATCCAATTGTTGATAAACGTAATTGTGTATTTCCATTTATATGCCAGAATAACATTTGTAATGATTGTACAACTGATGGAGATAGTAGAAAAGATACCATGATGTTCATTAACAACAGAATATCAGGATTTATTCACTTATTATGATGACTTTTGGAATTCAATACTAAAATGTCTTCCTTCATTTAAAGTTTACGGAAAAAAACTTATACTAAATGTGATTATTTAACAAACAATATAAAACAAATGAAAGTGCTGTACTATAACGTTATCCTGTATTCTTTCCATTCAATTTGATAAGTTGTTGTCAAAAAGAAAAAAAGATACAAATTTGTCAATGATTTATTTTGATTTTTCCTCCTTATAACAGTAAATGTTTACCTCTCGTTATCAAATTAATAGATTCTTTAATTTTGAAGAAAACGTCTCTATTTAATATTAAATCAATGATTACAAATTTTCTTTTTCAAGTTCTAAATGCTTTTATTGATTTTTTTATTTAGCTTCGAAGCAAGTGATCATGCTATTCCAATTTCGATAAATGTTACTGAAAAACAAGAAATTCTTGACAAATTTGATCAATTTCATGCAAATGTTCCCTCTAGATACATGCTTAAACTGTATTTGGATGATGAATTAGCTAAATTCGCTCAAGCTAATTCTAATATGTGTGCTCCTAAGCATGATCAAGCCAAGAATCGTTTAAGCCCACTGTTTGCTTGGTATATGGATAGAGTATGGTTATATCATACGAAATTCTTAGTTCTTTAGCTAGTTTATTGGTCATGATGCTTAATAGTGAACAACTCAATTTTATATGTGGTTATCATTATTATCCAAAGCTAGCTTCATGTCTACATTGCATACAAGCAATTTTAAGTAATATGACGTTTGTTGGTTGTGCTCACACATATTGTCTTTATCCTCATCGTATTAACGTTATTTAACATGTAATTATGAATTTTCACAATATGAAAATAATTATTTTATTTCATATGCACCAGGTAACGTTTTATTTAGAGATATTATTTATAAATTGAAGTAATATAATTTGTGATTATAATATCGGTGAATATCTTGAACCAGCTATATGTAATTGCAAACAAACATGGGTCAAACGATCGATTGATAAACATAATGCTGATAATGATAATGAATATAATAATAATCAAAACAATTTCATAGCAACGCCAAGAGGAAATAAGTTTTATTTACATGTGGCTAAAAAACGAAGTTTTAATCTTATTACACGCAAGATATTTCAAAACACAAGTTTTCGAAAAATATTAAATGCTAGTTAAAAAGAAAAGATGAAGTAATACATGATATACATGCAATTGAAGCTAATTTGACTCATCATTGATTTTTTCATATACACTAAGAGAAAAAATTTTATTCATCGAAGGGACGGCTACAGCTACAATGCAGACACTTTTTTTAACCAATTAAGGTAAAATGTCCGCAAAGCAGAATCAGGGGGTATAGACAAAAATGACCGCATTTTGAAAATTGTCCGCAAAGCAGAATCGAGGCAGAGAATGAAAATGTCCACATTATAGAATCAAGAAAAAATTTATTATGTGAAGAAAGAGAAAGATACAAGTAGTACGAGATGATTCAACATTCAACTATGCTTTTTGGCTCATAATCTTCGTCATCTTTGTCAGATGTATCCAATATGTGAATGTATCGGTAACAAAGAGAACGTAGTCTTTTTTGATAGTCATCTAAATCTAGTAGACTATTTAAATAATCTTCTTTTGCTTGTACTAAAATATTTTCATTATTAACTGAAGTTAACCTTTTTGGACGAGTTGTTCGTTGTTGTTCTTGTTCCTGTTCTAATCGAACCATTACTGATTATCGTCGATAGAATCGATTTGCCTGTACTAATTTTCTTACTATTTCTACTTTTTTTTTGATTCTATAATGCGGACATTTTTATTCTCTGCCTCGATTCTGCCTTGCGGACAATTTTCAAAATGCGGTCATTTTTGTCTATACCCCCTGATTCTACTTTGCGGACATATTTTTCCTCCAATTAAGAAAAATCGCCCGCAATCAAGCAGACACGCGAAGGGACATAATTGTATTGAACAAACACGATCAATTAATTTTATCATGCTTCGCAAAATTTCAAAGATTTTACTAAGCTTGAAGATAATTAATTTATGCTTCAAAAGTTAAGATGCACAGAGCTTGTTATTCTCCTCTGGGAATAGCTCTTGTGATTAGTTATTCGTTGCATTTCATGTTCAAAAATAGATCAAGTATGTGATGAGACTAAATGGGAATCTTTCATTATTAAGGAAAGATGTTAGTACAATTCCAGCGTGCTAAAATTTTGTGAAACATGATGTAACTACTATTACTAATTATACGAAAATTATTTTTATTCTATAGATTTTCGAACACATTCATACGCTATGCTTTCACTTGCTCCTCTAGCAATGCAAGAACTATGGTACTCTATATATTATCACGAGACCTTATTCAAATACGGTTTGTAATCGCATATCAACAACATCTCCTATAGTCTGTAATGTAGAGAACAGTACTGCTAAGGTGTCCAGAGTTCTTGATTAGGAGTATGAGAATAGAATTTCTTCCCATCTCAAGAAGAATGATCTACTTTTTCCTTAAATTCTTGATGATTTCTGCCGATACTTTGTAGCTTCGTAGGAACTTTGCATAAAAATCAGGTATTGAAGGATCATTTGTCTTTTTCTGGCAGAAAGCGAAGTGAATAGGATTAGAACACTTCTCGTAGGAGGAACAGTCTGATAGCAGATCATCTGTTTTAGGAGGGACCAGTTCACGTTAGGTTTCTGTCCTTCGAACCTCCATTCCAAAAAATAACAATAATTCTGAAGATATCTGCTACGTCTGTGCATGCAGAGCGAGGTCCATATTTCTATCTTCATACTTCACTATTCGTTTTGGATTGTGTTTCAAAAAATAGTTTGGATTGAAATAATTTTGAATATACAATCTTTGATGAAATATACTAGACCTACACGATTTTCATCTACATTAATTATAACCACTTAAATTGAAATAGTAATAATAAATAGTGGAAAATTCTTGTAGGCAAAAACCTCGATGAAAGAATATTTTTGTTATAATCTGACATGAATGTTCAGAAGTAAATCCAATTCTTTGGTTAAAATTTGGTCTTCTCTCAGTGAAATCAATCAATCTTTGCCAAACTCAGGGTGATGGTCGGCGTGGGAGAAGACAAGAAGCACTCATATACTCTCACTTTCATCCGCGTCCTGCTCAAAGTTCACTTCACAGTTTTTTAAAAATTTATGAACTTTGTATCACAAAAAACTTCTTATTTCAGAAAAAATGATGATTATCTGAGATAATACATTAATGCATATTAGAAAAAGATGATCCTATACAGTCGAAAAGTGTTTGCAAGTAAATGCTAATTATTTGACAAAAAACAACTAGAAACCTCTCAACGATGAGCACTTCTATAAACTGAACAGTTTTCGTCAGTCATTATTGGGCTCACATTACAGTAGCTTTACTGTCTATAATAGATGGGTGTGGGTGTGGATTTAGAAAAAAGTCACATTTACACGCATGCACACCTACACCAACTCGCATAACCATACTCGCATTATTAGACACAGCATATAACATGCAACAAATGAACGACCAAGATCATGAAGAGAGAATACCATGAAAAAATATCACTATAAATTTGATGTTTTTCTCTTCTACTGATCAGTATGGAAATTTTTTTTTTTTTCATTGCCATAAAAAGATCCCTCAATAATCAAATACGATTGTAAATAACACGAATATAGTATTTTAAAGTGATTTTATCCAAGAAGAACATTGGATTGAATCAGTGCTCGGTTTTCGTCGATATTATCAAACACACATATACACATCCCAACTTTGCGCAGTTTTTTGTTTTCTTTTTCTTCACATATTAAGCAATAGAAGGGTGTTTCAGGAAAGTGACCTGGCCCTGTTAGAATACTGTCAATAGACTGCACTTCACCAATGACAACTAATATTAAATCAGATGCATCATATAAACAACGTCCATAAGCTACGATTATTCCAACTGATGTGGTTAGTTCTATAGCTTGTATGTCCAAATCTGAAGTAATAGTAAGTCCACCGTACAAATCATTTGTACAAATTCCTGTTATGCGCAGTTGGCAACGCATTATTTTAGTTGATATATGAACGCCTTCAGATCGAATATATTTGCAACGAGCACAAACTTCACCCATTTTAAACCAAAAACCAGAAGTTTGTCTTTCAAAAGTGGGTAAAGCCGAAATATCTGCAGATGATGTATCTGAATGGTTCGTCGAAAACCAATTGGTCAAGAGCATATAAGCTAATTCTTCATTTGTCACTACTGTTGCTAATCTTCGTAAGACTTCTTGTAAACCAATACCATATTGGACATCGATTTTTACGTGATCGAATACACTTAAGATGGAATAAACTTTATCTTCCTCATATTTCGATTGTCGAAACATGGCTCTTTGGAGAATATCACTTTTTCGAGAACAGTCGACTTCTAACATAAAAAGTGATTCTCTTTTGATTTCTTTCCATTGAGATACATCAGTTTTCAAAGGAATTGGGCCAGTCTGTATGGAAGGTACAAGTGTTAATAACCATGTCAAAAAATAACTATCAATGCTTATGCATTGACCAAATCGTGTGTGGATAATATGTCCAGTAATCTGTCCACCCACTGTGTTATATCCAAAAACAATCCGAGCATTTGCATTAAAAATAAAAGTCCTTTTACGAGATAAGATAAATTCTTGTAATGTCCATGATCGATAAAACCATCGGGGTAATTTGCTTTCAGGTAAGATATCAGCATTTAGATGAAGTCCATCAGGAAATATAACACATTCGGATGCACCTCGATAATATTTTCCCATATTAGGAATTTCTCTTTGTTTTTCTTTACTTGTTCTTCTTTGATCGATACACAAAGCATCAATCCATAGATATTCATGTCCTAATTCATGACATACATGTAGGGCACTAATGAGACCTTCAACAGTAAATGGAGATACTTGTTCTAATAAGTATTGACTATTCTTGTTTCGTTTAGCTGTTAACCAAGTGTAAGAGATTGTACAGTAGTTTAAATCCTCTTGAGATGGAACAAATACCAATTGACCATCGTTAACTACACGTTTAATATCAACTAATCGTAACGGTCTTTCAGGATAAGAAACGATTGCATTCGACCAAATATGTTCATAATATACTAATAATTCATCGATATTGATTATTGACATTTTATCTATAGAATTCAAGTGGAATTTGAAATTCGAAATGTAAACAGAAATCGTTATCAACCTTTTCAAATTGAATAAAGGATTTGTTTTTCCATGAAAAACGAGCGCTCCAAAACATTTTAGGAAATAATTTAAATTGGCATTTTTTGGTACTGCAACTTAGTGACGGTACTCGTGTAGGCTCAACAAGAGCATATAAATATAAACGAGCTCTATTGAACCATAAAAGTTGTCGACATTGCGTGTTCGAAGCATGCTTATAGCAACTTGATGGTTTTTGTGTCTATATCTATCACTTCTGCAGGATTTTATTGAGTATTTAATGCTGACTCTATTGGAAAATTTGTGTTCGACACTGTAAAAATTGAAAAAGGTCTCAAGCAAAAACTCAGGCGGTTTTTTTGTACCGAACAAACGTTATTTTCTACAACAATAAGTGCGCTGTTGAGTCGCAGGAAGCCTAAACTATGTTCTGATTATCGTTACTTGGTACGATCAAAAAATACAAAACAAAACATTAGTGTAAGAGAGATTTCAAGGCAAAGAGCTCTTCTCAAGATCTACATGACTATTGTTTTTTTTTTTTCTTGAAAAGTGTTGTATAATGTTTATTTTCATTATGATAATTACAGGAGCATTTTAGGAAGAATACGATTTTTCCAACGCCTAACGGTTCGGATCTGCAATTTCAAAAGACTTACGTTTATTCGTTTTATTTGTCAAAAAATCCAATGCATTGATGTTACTCAATAAGAAAATAAAAGCATTATGTTATTCATATACACATCAAAAAATAAAGTTAGGCTTGTGTGCATTCATTCGTATGAGTGAAATAAATATGATCGTGTTTGATTGAGACACTTTGCTTTTCTCGCATAAAAATAAATTCGTTACTGTGCTTATTCTATCACTCATCGATCGAACAGCTTAAAGGAACGCAAGAGAGTGAGTGACTCAATGGTTAGAAAATATGTGCACGATACGACAGCTTTACCGAGTAGCTATCTAATTCGAGTTCGAATATGAATTGTGATTTTGAAAAACACATAAAAGCACAACCATTAGTAAATAAATATTTAGTTTCAATCATTCATAAAATTAAGGAAAATTTTAAATATTCCTGAATACATCGTATAAGCTTTTATTCTATGTGAGAAAAATTAAGTGTGAACTAGACACCTCAACATGGTTTCATTTTTGATGAATGACATTCGATACAACACTATTTTTGCTACTCAACAACCACATTTTGTTGCTGAACAAGTATTGTTGTAGTTGCATGGTTTCATAGGAGTGTTTGATCCTGTATTGACATATGAATCAACTTCATGTAAATGACGACTGTTATAGCTGGATAAATGTGATAGATAGTGTGCTTGGAACCGTTAGAAGATTATGAACGTTATAGATTATAATGGATCGGCATCTATATCATTTAATGTTGATTGAACCAATATTACATTACACGGCAGTAATTTAGATGTAACAAATGTTCTGTCCATTTTGCTGACTTTTACCTCTACCAACTCTTTAACTTCGATTAATATAAAATTTTTATGCCGCTAAAATTTGAGATGAGGATCTTACTAGCTATCTCCAAAGAGTTATATTACGTTTTTATAGAATGATCATTTTATAGACAAGTCATCTCAAAACTTGTGATTCAAATATTAGATATACTCATCAAATAGTTTATAAAAGTATCGATGATCATATCACTGTTAATATACGAATACCTACTTGTGTAATGCGCGCAATGTTTATTTAAATATCTATGTTTATTTTACTCTGAACTTCTATCCATTGTACCGAACGTAACAGATACTTCAGTTTTTCCTAAGAGGAACTAAAATTTTTTTCTTTGAAAAAGTCCAGTTAAGAACGAAATTTCAAGTGGCTCTAGGAGAAACTGAAATAAAAGATAAGTGTAATTGGCACTAGTAGAAATTCAAATTTTAAATTCTACTAGAAACTTGTACTATAGGAATATGTGAATTTTTTCTGTAAAACAATATAAAATAAACTATTACACGAATGATGCGATATGAAAAACGAAAAGGAAAGAAAAGATTTTGAACATACGATTTGAATTTTTCGTAACAGTATCAAACGAAAAAACATTTGAATAATATACAAAAAGGAATTGTTTTATTTGAAGCTTGGTAAACATATAGAATCTTTAGACGATAAATTTCGTTTAAAGTTTGTTATCACATAAGTTATTTATAATGACATCATATTGATATTAAAAGATTGCTGGGCGAAACCCAGTTAAAATTTTGGGTCCATAAACATTTAAAATTAGATAGTGTCGTGAGGTATTGATAAAATTGATAAAACCAACACGACACCAAAAGTTTTACCATGTAAGGTTATTTCAATACAATCATCGTCTGATAATGTCAATACCTATTGTCTTTGTACAAGAAAATGTGTTCTTTCGTTAAGACTCTATGTGAACGATCTCATTGATTTAAAAAAATTATTTTTGCGGAATTGTGTCCTCTTAATTTTCGAACCTTACCAACACAGACATTTATTCAAACTTGTAAAGATTATATTAGCAGTGAACTTACTACAGTGGTAGAAGCTTGTGCTTGTAATAGCTGGTGTGCTACAAAACAATGTCCATGCAAAGCAGCTAAAGTACTACATGGTACAAAGTGTCATCCTGCTAAAAAGAACTCTTGTTGATAAATTCAATGATCTTGAATGTTGCTCTCTAATTTATACATAAATAACTTGTATTCTTTTGTAGATCATCATTCATATATTGGTTTGTTTTTTATTCTAGCACAGAAGAAATTCACATACTTCTATACCAGAAGTTTGTAGTAGAATTTTAAATGCCCCTGCAACATATATATATATATATATATATACTAGGATGATTCAAAAGTTCCCAGAACTCCGGTATACCTATTTAGAGAAACAACATTTCATTAATTTCTTTTGCGATATATATTCGAAGTATTTGTTGTAATATTACATGGGAAAATTCATCCTTTTAACTTACTCTTTAGGTATCCTTTCTAAGTAAACAGGAGGTACTGAATTGAGCACCTTTGTTATTACTTGAGTTTCGATAATGTTTTGAGTTGTCAACAATATGAAGAAGTTTCTAAGTGATGAACAGATTTTATGTGATATCATTAGCGGTTATCAGACATTGATGCGTCATTGCAATATTGGTTGAGAATCATTATTTAAACTTAGGACAACAAGAGAAACTAGTCCTACGAGCGACATTTATTCGTGAGGGTATCAGAAATAATAATATATGTCAACCATTTTATGACATTCTAATCATTATTTGGTATCTAGTGATTTCTATATGAGCTAGTTATTCTATCTATATTAATGATTAATATTTAAATTCACAAATAAAAATGTTATCGAACAAAAAAGTACCATCATGGCCTATTCCGAACAGTTCTCATCATGGTTTTTTTCTCAGCAACATCTGAAATTGTACGATTATTTGCTTAAAATTGAGAGAAATGAAGGTAAACATCGCCAAGTGTACTCACATTATACTAGACTTTCACGCTCTTACTCATTAAGATGTATTCAAGATAGACTAGATAATCAGCAGCTACAACAATTTAGCCAGAGTTGTAACCAAGAAAATCAAATCAATACCTATTGCTTACTTCGAATGGATATCTAACGAATAAGTTAAAAAGATGAAACTTCGCATGAAATATTACAATAACTACCTTGAATATATGGTATAGAAAGATCGATGGAATATCGTTTCCCTAAATAGATGTAACGAAGTTCCGAGAACTTTTTGAAGACCCTATGTAGACGATAAAGATATAAGAACTCAGAGAACTACTTTGTAGAAGACCGACGCTTATGTTGATTTCACTCGATTTATGGTTTTCAAAAGAAACAAATGCTGTTCTATCAGTTAACCAATTAACTATTAATTTTAAAATTTCGAGAGGCATTTGCATTCGAGGGTGTGAGTGTGTGCACTCAAAAGAAAAGGTATCCGAGAAAATCCTTAAAGGGTTTCCGAGGGTTCGGAAACATATCAGAAGGCTCGAAAACCTATCTGAAACCAGCCCTAATGAAATACTACATACTACTCTCGGAAACCCATTAAAGGTTTCCGAGGTTCATAAACTGCGCACACAGCTATCTATGCCTAGTGACTCGGGAACAAAAAAATAACCAATCAACAAATCCATTCCAAGTCTACAAAACGATCCAAAAAACACTACACCGAAACGTCGTACGACGAGACATTTATCAGTCGATCACTTTCGCCCACTACGTCTAATATTAATATTCATCCCAACATTCTTCAATCACAACCTAAACAAACCAGTAAATATACAACTAAAATTCACACAGCTTCAAACAAATTTCACCTTGAGTTAATACTAAATGTAGAAAACAAACTCAAGAATAACTTCAGTAACACACACGAACTTTCCTCTCATTCATCATAAATTCACATATAACAATAGGATATACCTTCCACAGACCTCATCAATGGATTGTTGTTTTGTTCATCTAAACTAAAAAAAAAGTAAGAAATAGAATAAAGAGTTAAATGAAACGAACTCCCTCATGGATTGCCTTTACTTGACCCAAACTAAAGAATAGAGAAGTGAAATAGAGACTAAGTTGAAACAAACGCTCGGATGGATTGTCATTTAGTTCATCCAAACTAAACAACTAAGAAAAAGAATATACAATAGTTTGAAACAAACTCACCCATCGATTGCCATTTTGTTCATTCAAACTAAAAAGAAATAGATAGAATCTAGAAGTATATGAAACAAACTCACTCATAGAAGGTGTGGATGTGTTGGTGTGGGTGTAGGTGTGGGTGTGGGTGTAGGTGTGGGTGTGGGTATGTGGGTGTGGAGTGGGTGAGTGTAGGTGTATGTGTGTGGGGTGTGGGTGTGGGTGTGAGTGTGAGTATGAGTGTGTGCGTGGGTGTGGGTGTAGGTGAATGTGGATGTGGGTGGATGTGATTGTGG